AAAAAAAAAAAAAAAAAAAAAAAGGCAGGCAAGTACACTATTGCAGTATGTTGCATTGAAGACTGAAAGTAGAAGTGGGAGCAAAATACTTCGGGAAAATAAAGAAGCAACAGATTCCCTGGTAGAGTTGGGGAGGTACGTTCACAGACATGACAATTTATTTTGGATTTTGAAGGGGGAGTAGAGATTTATGTGCAGAAAAATGGAATGTATTATATTCCAAGGAGCAGAAACGGCACAAAGCAAGACAAGTAGGTAACAGGGCATGGCGCGCTCGGGGATGTGAGGTGCGTGATGTGGCTGAAGCATCGGATGTGAAGATGTGTAAAGCACAACAGCTTGGAAGAATGGGTAGAGGAAATTCTAAGACCATGGAATGCCACTATAGATTGAGCGCCATGATGTAACCAAAAACGGGATAGGGCCAGGGAGGGTGAGGAAGGGCAATGGATATATCCAAGGAGCATCTTATTGTTTATCTAGAAAGGTTGTTATGGCAACAGAAAGAGAATAAATGAGAGGGTCAGAGGCTGCTAAGGGGTGGCAGTTTGTGGGGCTGTTGCAGTGTCACTGAAAAGAAGTAAGAGTCCCCAGCTGATGAATGGATAAACATGTATAGGCACACAGTGGAATGACATTTAACATAAAAAGGTATGAAATTTTGATATGTGCTGCAACACGGATGGACCTTGAAAACATGCTTCATGGAATAAGCCAGACACACAGGATAAGTGTGGTAGGATTCTGCTTATATGAGGTGCCTAGAATAGACAAATTTGCAGAGACACAAAGTAGAGTATTAGTTCCCAGGAGGTAAAGAGAGGGGGGAAGGAAAGGGTATTGTTTAATGGATATGGAGTTTATGTTGGGAATGATGAAAAAGTTTTGGGTATAAATAGTGGTGATGGGTACACAGCATTGTGAATGATTTAATGGCACTGAACTGTATGGTTACAAATGGTCAAAATAATAGTTATATATATTTACACAATAACAAATAAGGATCGGTGGATGGATGGATGGATATATGCTGAAGCAAATACAGTAAAATTATGAGTTCAGATTTGAGCATGTTGATATTGATGTCCTGTGAGATATCACATTGGAATTGCCCAAGAGTTATTTGTATCTGTGGGTCTGGAG